TTTTGAGTGAATCTTATTTTAAAACCCTTTTATGTGAACTATTATGCTATCTTGTTTCTTAAATTTTAAAGCCATGGTTTATACTAGCAGAGAAGACATTGTAACAACCCAGAATTCCTCTATTGGAATGTAGTTCTAATTGTGAAGGAGAACATAGGGGTCTTTTCTTAAAATTCCCAATATGCATATACTCTCTGGTTCCTAAGTCCAATTGCTAACTTTTTTTTTCTAATTGTTATCACGATTGTTCACAACTACTAAATTGTTTAAAAAATATTTTAACCTACCATTTTTATCAACAACTTTTCTTTCAAAGCATTCCTTATGTCACTTAGTTAATGATTTTCCTGAGTTTGACATATTAAGTATTCTATGAGATGACATACATGCTTTTTCTGTAAGCTGATTCTCATGAATTCAAGTAGTTGAGTTCCTTTATGTTTGTTTTATTTACTAAAGTACTTTGCACAAAATGCATCAAAACCTAGAGCAGTAGTTTTATATAAAAGCTCGTGAGTTTGAATCATTAATATAATTGTTGATCCACTTATAATTTGTGTGATACTGTATGTATGCAGACACTGAATTATCAATTTAAAAAAATGTGGCCTCAAAAATCCCAGCAGGATATTTGGTAGATATAGGTCAACTGATTTTAAACGGTAAATGGAAAGGCACAGGAACTAGACTATCTAAAACAATTTTGAAAACGAAAAATAACATTAGAGAATTCACACTATCCAGTTTACAGTGGTCCCCAACCTTTTTGGCATCAGGAACTGTCTTCAGTTGCTGAAGACAGTTTTTCCACAGGAAGACAATTTTTCCACAGATCAGGGAGGTGGGAGGATGGTTTTGGGATGACTCAAGTGCATTCTATTTATTGTGCACTTTATTTCTATTATTATTACATTGTAATATATAATGAAATAATTATGCAACTCACCATAGGTTGGGGCCCCCTGGTACTGTAAAGCTAGAGTAATGAAAACAGTGTGATATTGGTGAAGGGTCTAACACATATGTAAGAAGAACAGAGTAGAGTCCAGAAGTAGATCTACTCAAATAGGGCCAATTGATTTTTCCCCAAAAGGTATAAAAGTAATTCAATGAAGAATGAACAGTCTTTTCAACTAATGGTGTTAGAATAGTTGGACATTTTTATGCAAAAAAATGGATCTCAAGACATATAAAAATTAACTGAAATGGATCATAGATCTAAATATAAAATAAAAAATTAAACTTTTAGCATAAAACATAAGAGAAAATCTTCATGACCTGGGAATCAACAACGAATTCTTAAACATGACACCAAAAGCACAATCATGCCAATCACATATCTGACAAAAGATTTGTATACAAAATATGTGAAGAACTCTGAATGCTCAATAATAAGAATAGCCCAACAAAAAAGTGGGCTAAAGATTAGACACACTAGAGAGGACAGAAGATTGTCAAATAAGCACATAAAAAGATGCTCAATATCATTAGCTAAATTCGTAAAATGCAAATTAAAACCAGGATGAGATACATCTACGCACCTATTACGATGGCCAAAAGTAAAAAAAAAAAAAAAATACTGGCAATACCAATAGCTGAGAAGGATGCTGAGCAACTGGAATTCATATACATTACTGGTGGGAATACAAAATGGTACAGCCATTCTGAAAAACGGTTTGGCAGTTTCTCACAAAGTTAAACATACATTTACCCTATCAACCAGTAATTCCAGGTATTTAACTCCTAGATATTTACCCTAGAGAACTGAAATTTTATGTTCACACAAAACTAGAACATGAATGTTTATAGCAGCTCTTTTCATACTTGCCAAAAAAAATGGAAACAACCCAAATGTCCTTCAACAGGTATTGTGGTACATCCATATTCAAAATATATCGTTAAGAAAGAATCAACTTTAATTAAAGGGAAGGCCAAGAAAATGCCCTTGTATTCTGTGATTAGCTGAAAAATATTTCACTCTGTGCTGAAAGGAAAGCTGAGTTAAGGCTTAGAAAGCTAAACAAATAACTCGTTTGCTGATCAATCATATCTCACTATGAGCTCTACCATACATGATGGATTTCTCTTGTGTTTTCCTGCCATTCTGTATAAACAGATGGGGGCTCTTGTCAAACTGATTCCTAGATAGCCTGTCTTTCCCCATCTGAAATGGAAATCACTCTTTGTGTGGATGTCAAGGTTTGTGAAACATGTTCTAAGTAATTGTGGGGAGTCACAAAACATGGCTAGCAAAGGAAAGAGTTCATCATTTGTCCTTTTTGTTAATCATTTCAGATATAAGTGGACTTAAACTCATTTCTCTTCTTTCGCCTTCCACACACATCTATAAAAAACTCAATATAACTTCCCTTGATTTGGCATAGCCGTTCAAAATTTGCTGTCTCTACACTGCAGCAGTTTATAAGCTCAAAACAAGCATCTGACACTTCTTATTAATTTAAACCACATCAGTAAGCATTGTTTCTTTCACAGCTTCAAAGAAGGCAGTGGGATAGAGATGGGAGCCTTGTGGCCCAGCTTAGTCACTGATTCAGTGCAGTGGGGAGGGGAGGGGAGAGAGGCAAGGGGAGAGAATAAGTAAAAGGGAAACCAAAGAATCCGATGACTTTGAGGTTCTTTTTTTAATGTATGAGTGGCTGGCAATGCTGTTATCTCAATTAGATAATAAAGGAAAACATATAGACAGAGAATTATAAAAGATTTGAGGGGAAAGATGCTTATCTCTATTTTACCAGTATATTTATTTTTAAAAGTTTGCACAGCTGCAGGATCTCTTACAGTAGTGTTTATTAGAGGATCTCAAGTTTGACAGTTACAGAGGCAATGTGGTTTTTAATTCAAAAGGAATCATCAGGGATAATAGATTTTTTTTTTTTTAGACAGGCTCTTGCTCTGTCACCCAGGCTAGAGTGCGGTGATGTCATCATAGCTCACTGCAGCCTCAAGCTTCTGGGCTCAAGTGATCCTCCCACCTCAGCCTCCCAAGTAGCTGGGACTACAGGCGCCCACCACCATGCCTGGATAATTTTTCTATTTTCTGTAAAGATGGGGTCTCATTTTTGCTCAGGCTAGTAGTCTTGAACTCCTGAGCTCAAGTGATCCTCCTGCCTCGGCCTCCCAGAGTGCTGGCTTTACAGGCATTAGCCACTGCCCCAGCCAGGAATAATAGATTTGAAGGGAGCAAGGAGCCATTATATTTAACAGAGAATATTGTAAAGTCGATAGTGAAAAGTCCTTCTACTGATCCCTAAAATGCAAGAGGAGAGAGAACCCTTCGAACCCACAGTGCCTATGATGGAGAGGCTTAAAAAAAAAAAAAAAAAAAAAAAAAGGAAGCCAGGACTTCTCAGACATGGTGAATTTGGTTGTTGCTGGTGGCAAACTTCCAGGAAGCCAGGCCCTTCCTGTTCAAATGCTGTGGTTTCCTAAGGGACATATAAATAGTTCTCTCCCCAAGAAAAGAGTTAAGAATGGAAGGCAAGGAACCCCACAGGCACACACATCGGAGTGCAGCTGTCAATGTGGCCGACAAGAAGAGTGGCATTAGCAAAGATGATTCTGGGAGAATGTGGGACACAGTGACCAAAAATGCAGCTGGATGGGGTGGGGGCGGGGGTTAGGAGATGGAGTCGGTCACAGCACAGGACTTAGCATGCAAAGAGCAGCAGGCAAACTGTCCAGAAGACAAGAAAGGGGGTGGCGGACCATGGTGAAGAGGATGGAGAAAAGGAGAGCTGCACACGTGAGGGCATTTGTAAGGCTCCGTAGAGAGGGTAGCGAAGACCTACTGTTAATAGAAACAGATTGCAATGCAGGCTGGGTCTGCACGTTTTTAAGAAATGGGGGAGAAAATCAAAGCATAACAAAATCAGACCAAAGTGTTCGCCTTCACACAGGTATGAACCTGCAGGAACAGACCCACACACTGCACAACTGGGAGCCACGACTCCCAGACCCATCCCCAGGACAAATGCAACTGTTAGAAGGCAGTCCTAAGTCCTGGGCACACCTTGCTGCCTCTTGGAGTTACATTTTATGAACCTATTAAAATAATTTATGCTGTACATATTGAAATATAAAACAAGACTGATACCAGCAGATTTTAGTCTCGGCAACATTACGGTTTCATAGGCTATTGCTTATCTCCTAGGAATTTTTAAAAAAGATTATCTAACAGCAAATATTTCTTATCTGCCATGCTCTTATTTTTGTGAAACCTCATTAAGGGAATACTAATTATTACATATAAAGAACAATTTAAAGTTACTGGTATTCTTTAGGCAATTAAATAACCTGTTGTTCTTTAAGTAAACTATCTGATAATCTGAACTTAATTGCTAACAATTTATTATCTCAATTTCTTGAACCTCAGATAAGGGTTTTACTTTGTTTATTATGTTATAACCATTCATCACTGACAGCCATAGTCTAAACTCTACAGATTATTAGTAATTGGTAGGATCTTCCATTATTAGAGGCTGTGTGATGGACCAGCTGAGAGACACAGGCTGGAGCAAGTGCTAGGTGGTGTGTGCCCAAACCCTAGCTCCACTGCTTACGAGATGTGCGCCTTCGGGCAAATTACTTACACTCTCGAGGACTTCATTTCCTCATTTGGAAAATGGGGATGATAATAGCTGGACTTACCTTATATGGCTGCTGTGAGGATTAAATAAGCCTAGAACAGAACCTCAGTAAGCACTTGTTAGTGAATACAGAAGGCAATTAGAACAATCCTGGGTAATTTGATAAATATTAATAGTAAGCACTATATGTATTAACTGTTATTTCCATTATTTTCTGATGCTCCTCATGATAATTTTAGTAGTCATGTTAGGGGTATGTGAAATTGGTAAATATTCCCCCAAATTTCCATAGTCTCAAAAGACTAAAAAAATCACATAGCAATGACATTATCTCCTTTTTTTTAACATTCAGTTAATCTCAGTTTAATGGATTTATCCCTTTGTCTTCAATAGAGTTGAAAATATGTCAATGAGGCTCGAAGAAATCAATGAAAGAGAAAATTTCATGAAAACTTCCCTACAGACTGTTGACCTTCGACTTTCTCAAATAGAAGAATTATCTAGCCGAATGGTGAACGCTCTTGAAAACCTTGCAGGAATCGACAGGTCTGACCTGATACAGACACGGTCCCGAGCTTCTTCTGAATGTGATGCAACTTACCTTCTGAGGCAAAGCAGTATCAACAGTTCTGATGGCTACAGTTTGTATCGATATCATTTTAATGGAGAAGAATTATTGTTTGAGGATACATCTCTCTCCATGTCCCCAGGGACAGGATTCAGGAAAAGAACCTGTTCCTTCCGTGTGAAGGAAGAGAAGGATGTGAAAATGCATCTCGTTCCAGAACATCAGAACAGCCTTCACCTTTCACCAGCAATAACAGATGGCAGTCACCTTGCAGTCGACGACTTAAAGAACACTTCAGAGCCAAAGTTAGGTCCCGATATCGGGATTTCCCCTGAAGACGATGAAAAACAGGCAGACTCTAAAAGAGAAGAAACTGTCTCCCCAAGTCTAAATCAGATGGATGTGATGCATGGGCAGAACAAATCAGACTTTCAAAACACTCAGCTAACAGTGGAAACAACAAACGTAGAAGGCACTATTTCCTACCCACTGGAAGAAACCAAAATTACTCGCTATTACCCTGATGAAACATTCAATGCCTGTAAAACAATGAAGTCCAGAAGCTTTGTATATTCCGAGGGAAGAAAGCTGGTGAGGGAGGCTAACAACTGGAATGCAGAGTACAGTTCCATCATGGACCAGCAATGGACCACAGAGTGGAACTACCAAGTTCAAAAGATCACACGCTCTCGCAGCACAGATATCCCTTACGTTGTGTCAGAAGCTGCAATGCAAGCTGAGCACAAAGAGTTTACAGACATGGAAGATGAAAACCGGGTTCCTGCAACAGTCCCTCAAATCCCTCGTTTGTCCCTAGCTTTTATTGACAGAACTGGAAAGGAAAACTTGCTGTCTGTGAAAACAGATCAAACTTTGGGGTTCCCATCTCTAAGGTCAAAAAGTTTACACGGCCGTCCTAGGAGTGTCAAATCCATGCAGGGCAAATTAGACAGACCAGGACATGCCAGTAGTGCAAGCAACTTGGTGGTTGTATCTGGAATTACAACAGAAGAAAAAACGATTAAGCAGGAGAAAACATCCACAGAGACTGAATGCTGACCTGTTTTGTTTCTTTGACTTTTTTTAATGATCAGAACTACAAATGGGTGCCAGCTTGGCCACCTAAACATCATCAGTTTCTGAAAACGTTTTCCTTAAAAAAAAATTGGAAATTTAGACTTCATTTAAAATTTAATACACTAACAGTAGTGTTTTGTTAGCACATGTTTGTAGGCTTAGTTTTTTTAGTTGGAGTAGGAGCAAATGAAAGTGACAATACTCTAATCAAGATAAATGGTTAATCAGCAGGCAAGATTATACAATCTCTTTATTCCTGAGGGCCACCAAATAGCCTAAGAAATGCCTTTGGGCGTTTAAGTCACCATTAAGTTGCTTAAGAAGTAAGCAACTACATTAAGAAAGAGAAGTTAAAGAGAAAGCAAACATGAAGAAAGGGAGGGGCAGGAGGAAGGAAAATAAAATTATGAAATGTGAGAAGTGGGAAGGAGCCATAAACATCTTAAGTTTTTTATGAGGTCTTTCTTGTTTGTTTTATGTTTTAATGTTTTATTTTAAATTACACAACGGGAAAAAAGTACACAATTATATCAAACATCACACTTTAAAATTTAGGATGACCACAAGTTTTGTTAATGCATAAAAATTAAGTATCCAATATATATTTTCTTATTGTCCTATAGTCCTCCATAGCAAACACAAACAATTATATCTGTATGTCATGGTTTGTGCAAAGATGTAACTAAAACCTAAAGGATATATATGTTCAAGAACCACAGAGACCACTCATGGCTGAGAACATAAGGCGTTTTGCTTCAACCTAAAGTTCAAACACTCAACCATAGTACTAGGACCCCATGCAGGAGGTCCAGAGGGGCCACTGTCTAGGAACCTTTAAGGCCACCCACCACCAACACTTTGACTATACAAAAAGGAGTAGAGGGGGCAGAAAGGGGTCTCCTCTGGGCAAAGCAGAGGTTGGAGTTAATATAGAACTGTCTTAGTAAATAAATAAGAATTATATTTCTATCCCTGGTAAAATATAATAAGCAGCCTTTTATTCTTAATAAATTCTGACACAAATTCTGACCCCAAAATCTGACATACTCATAAATGAGTTATAATATTATAATTGGTATAAAGTAAGCTAGTTTTGGACTTTGAGCAGTGGGAATTAAGACTTAAACTATCAAAGGACCTCATTATAAAGGGCTTTCTCCTTTAAGACTGTATGACTGCTTAAATTCTGAATATATATTAATATTGTTCATCACCATGGTGTTCCTATAGTTTTTCATAATTTAGGTTTCAAAATCTAAAAATTAGACTGTTAATGTTGTCATATAATTGTTCCACATCAAAAATGGATTTCTGCTATATATGTATATATATGAAATAAAGATAAATGAAATCATCCTACTGTCTCCTACATAAAAAGACTTTTTAAAGAAATTTTCCTGTCATAAAAAATACAGAAACCCACATTAAACAATTACATGACTTAAATAATTATTGTAAGATGAATATCCTTATAACCACCACTCTGATTAATAGAATTTGCCAGTTATCCTGGAAGTCTCTCTGTCCCCTGAAAAGTAATTATCTTTTTATAGTAATCACTTCCTTGCTATTCCAGCTACTATCACTGTATTACAAATGGCTTAAAACACCCATTTGATTATCCTCATGGATTCTGTGGGTCAGAAGTTCAGACAGGCACAGCACTAACGTCCCTGATTTGTAGTGTTTGCTGATTTCCATGGAGTAAAAACTCCTACCACAGCTAATTTCAAACTATCAATGTGGCCTCACTGCATGTGGAGGTGGGAAGACATGCTAACAGTTGGCTCTTGCAAGCCAGTACATGCTGGCTACGGCACATCAGTCTCTGCTCCATTGTGTATGGGGCCCCATATGGAAAGACTCAGTGTCTTAAGGTGACTCAACAGCTGGAGGCTAGAACCATCTAGAGACATCTTTACTCACATGTCTGAAAATTGACGCTGGCTCTCAGCTGGGACCTCAGTCTCAGTATAGGACATGCACGCATGGCCTCTCCCCCTGGTCTGGGCTTCCTCACTGCATGGCAGCCTCATAGTAACTGGATTTCTCACAAAGTGGTTCAGGGCTCCAAAAGTAAGTGCCCTAGTGAGCAAGGAAGAAACACCATTTTTATTTATTTATTTTTTTTTTTATTTTTTATGATCGAGCCTCAGAAATCTTGCAGAGTCACTCACTCCTATTGCATTCTGTTGGTTACAAGTGAGTCACTAAGGCCAGCTCAGATCCAAGAGTAGGGGTCATACATAGGGGAATGTTCTAAAAATGTTCAGACATGTTTTAAATCACTATGCTTGCATTGCATTATAGTATTATCACCTGAGTGTTCCTTAGCACTATACTTTAGTTTTATAACCCCACCTTTTTTTTTTTCCATATGAAGGTCTTTAAACCTCTTTTAATCTGTCAATTACCTCCTCCCCTGCCTTTCTCTTCTTTACAATTTCTCTGTTCAAGAACATGGGTCATTTTTCTTGCAAAGTTTCCCACAGTCTAACTTTTACTTATTGAATACTCATAGGCAGTTTGACACATTCTACTGTTTCTGAAGGTTGGCAGGAAGAGTCAGAGGCTTACTCAGGCTTAGGTTCAATCCTTTGGCAAAGCTATTTAGGTTGGTGTTGGTCCTTTCACTATGAGGCACATCTGTTTACTTGTTTCTCTTTTCTTGATGTCAGCAGCTGTTGATGCTCAATGCCTAGATCCCTTCATTCATAGGAGGCTGAAAATTGCAATATTCAAATTCTATTATTTATCTTTCATTTATTAGTTGGAATACTTCATAAAGAAATGATTCCTTTCATCTGCTAGTTAGTACACAGTGGTCCGGTTCATACTATACAGCAGGAATAATGATTGGTTAATTTTTTTCCCATTGGTTAATTAATTTGCCAGTTTTCAAAATAATTAATTAGTTCTCTATCATTCTCCAACGGATGGAGGCAGCTATCTGCAATCCAAGCAGAGAGCCCTCCACAGAACTCTATCTTGCCTTGCCAGCACCTTGACCAAATATTTCCCAGCCTCCAGAACAGTGAGAAATAAAATTGTATTCTTTAATCCACCAGTCAGTGGTATTTTGCTATGGCAGCCTGAGCAGACTGTTTCTCCCTCAAGAAACAGATTTTTTAAAAATTACTTAATGGTCATCTTAAAAGACCATATACTCAGGCAATGGCATAACTTTGTAGACATTATATACAACCACTTCTAACCTCTCCCACTGCTACCACCATCAGCTTCTTTTATCTGGACTATTATAATAGCCTCCCAACTAGTCTCCCAACTTCCACCATGCTGTACCACTACAATTGGAGTGATTATTTTAAAATGTAAGTCAGATCATATCACACTCCGCTCATACATTGCAAAAGTGTCTCAATTTTTGGGCCTATGTGATCTGGCCTATTGTTCTCTCTGACCTCCTGTCCCACTGGATTAGGCTACTTCAGGCCTCAAATGCATCACACAGGCTCTCATCTCAGGAAATTTGCACTGCTATTTCCTCTGCCAGAAATGCTCTTCTTACTTATTTCCACCTGGCTTGCTTCCTCACTCCCTTTTGTCTCTGCTCAAATGTCATCTAAAGAGAAAGGTCTTCCCTGACCACATCCAACTCCCCATTGAAAAACACAACCCTCATTCTCTTCCCATGTTTTATTTTTCTTCACAGCACTTGTTACCACCTGATACATTACATATTGATTTATCTCTTTCTAACAAGAATGAAATTGCCAGGGAAGTGGAAACTTTGTCGTTTTAGTGTCTTGGATAGTGCTTGGCACAAAATTAGTACTTACTACAAATTCATTAGCTCACTGAATGAGTGCCTGAATGAACATATAAAGTACCTAGCACCTAATAAGTATTCAAGAAATGTTAGCTCTTTTCTTTTCTTGATAGGGAAAAGTAAGTGATCTGTAGGGAATTCCATCATTCCCAATGCCACAAGAACCAATAATGGAAACAGAGGTGTAGTCAGAAAAATAGGTGAAGCAGGACAAAATAGTGACATTAGAGCCAAAAGAAGGGAGTGATCAGCTACACCAAACATAGAGTAGTCAAGGAAATCAGGATCTGAGAAGAGGCTATAAGACTAGTGTTATGGATTCAATTATATCCCCCCCAAAATGCTTATGTTGAAACCCTAACTCTCTGGTATAATACTTGGAGATAGGGATGTTAGGAGGTAATGAAGGTTAAATAAGGCCATAAAGGTGGCCCTAATCCAACAGGATTAGTGTCCTTACAAGAGACACCAGAGAGCTCATTATATACCTACCACTATCGTGTAAGGACAGTGAGAAAGCAGTCATCTGCAAGCCTGGCAGACAGCTCTCACCAGAACCCTACCTATCTTGCCAGCCCCTTTATCTTGGACTTCCCAGCCTCCAGAACGGTGTAAAATAAATTTATTTTGGTTAAGCCACCAGCCTGTGGTATTTTGTTATGGCAGCCTGGGCAGACTAATACAGCTAGATATCTGAAAAAATCATAAAATTTAGTTTAAAGCCAATAACAAATCTGGAAATCAGAGTTTTTTCACTTTTCAGTTGTATGGTCACATGTTAAGAGTTGTAGATCCTAAGAAAACCTGTACAGGAAAACCCAAATCACAGAGTAAGTCATTCAAATATAAAGAAAAAGCCAATTATTGCTTTAAGAGTATTTGTAGAAAAAATCCATTGAATGTAGAATAATAGAATATACATAAAAATAAAAAATATGTGTACAACTATTTTTAACACCTATAATCCAGTAGAATTAACATTTTAAAGTACAATTGTGGTTCCTGGGCAAAATGGAATCATGTGTTACTCAAACAGGTTAACCTGAAAGATCAGTAGGGTTCTGAATCTAGGATAAATTTTCAGAAAAAGAGTAATTTTTTGAATCTTTTAAAATTGTTAAATGTTCCCATGAACAACAGTTGTATGACTATGATTGGTATGGCCAAATCAGAGCCTCCCAGTGACATTAATCATAAATGCTGAGTTTGGGTTTTATTCTCCAAGTGCAAGAAGGACCTCGTCTGAACTAATAGATTCACCAAAATGTAACACCACTAGCTCCCTTCCACCAAAGGCTGCTCCAGTTTCAGAAATAGGTGAGAATTCAGAAACACCCTGAGCTTAATATGCTGGAATCCGTCTGTTCTTTGCAATCAATGGGCAGATTTTTGGTTCTGTAGCCTACTGAAGCTCCCCACAGCCCTGGGATCTTACTCCTGAGGGGCGTTTGATAATTTATCTGTTCATTAGCATCTTTACCTGTGAGGATGAGCAAGAAAGAAAAGCAACTTGCTTAAAATCTTTTTCCACATTAAAGTTTAATAAGGAGAGCAGAAATTAATGAACTAAATTGAGGAGTCTGGGTTGCCTGTCAATGTCATCTGTCCCACTTCCACAACACACACGTGTCTCAGCATCCTTTGGAAACCAGCGGTGCTCAACTGGTAGGAGAAAATCCCTGTCTCAAACATTTGCGCATCTAAGACAACCGGGTGACGGCCGAAAATCCTCCCCAAGTGTGGGAACTTTGGAGGAGGGTTTATGACAAGCGATACGGACCGCGCTGAACTTTTGAATCTGGTTACTGTTGGCTGCACACCCCACTTTTCCAGTGCCGGTTCCTCATACGCTGGGCGGGGACAGTGGGACAGCCTGACTCTGGGGACCCCCAGAGTCACCTTCCCGCCTGCCTCGGGCTCCTCCCCAAGAACGTTAAAACAACTCGCCCAGGCAGGACGACTAAACCTGTGTATGCTTAAGTCAAGGAGCAGTCGCGTGGCAGTCGGTACAGAGATATCCTGCGTCTTGGTCTCAGCCTAGTCCGTCTGCCGCGAGGCCTCTGCGGGCCGCCGTAGGTCCCCGCGGGCTGCCGTGAGCCCTGCGGGCCGCCGTAGGAGCGCCGTCCCAAGGCCGCTCTCTCAAGATGGCTGCCCGGCTCCGCTTCCCCCGGCGCCCCAGCTGAGAGCCCGGCGGCGGGCGCTCTGTGCAACTCCTGTGTTCCGGTGCCAGCGCGGACTACTGGCCGGGAGCGGCGACCCGCTGGCCCTGCGCGCGCCGTCTCTCGGGGCGGGGCACCGGGCCCCTTCCGGGGATGGGCCCCGGCGCCCGCGTCGGCCCGGCTCTGCCCCGGCTCCTCCCCGCTCGGGCGGGCGCTCCGCCGTGTCCCCGCCCGTCAGTCCGCCCGGCCCGGCCGGCCGCAGACGGGGTCTGGGCGGCCGCACGGATAGCTCTAAGTCCAGAGGAGTTGGGAAGCGTCAGCGCTGCCGCTGGCCCGCGACCGGGCGGGGGCGAAAAAGCGGTGGCACCATGTTCTCCCTTAAGCCGCCCAGACCCACCTTCAGGTCCTACCTCCTGCCGCCGCCTCAGGTAAACAACCCCCTCCTCGCGAGTACCCTCTCTTTGGCGCTTCCGGGGAGCCGCCAGGCCGGCACCCGGGAACAGGAGGACCCTGGAAGGCTGCACCCGTCTGTGCCCCCAGTCGTGCAGTTTGCTCGATCTTCGGCGCTGGGAACGCGTCTTCTCGGGAGCCACCTCCCGCTCGGTGGAAACTTGTAAAACTCTGCCGCAGCCATTCTTTGCGCGAAGTCCTGTCGTCCCGCAGTTTTGCCGTGTGATGAGACCCAAGGGAGATTTGGAACTGGATTTATTTCATTCGTAGCCTGGTGAGGGTCCCCACTGTGACCGTCATCGTGATTGCAGCGCTTGTGGGTATTTAATAGAGGTTACCGATCTGTCATAAGTGAACACCTGGAAGCTGTACAGGCAGTTTTAATATTTTTATTGTCAGGCTCCCAAGTTGATAATGAGCGATTTTAAAAAGAGCTTGTTTAAAATGTGAAAGAATTTAAATGGGGAATATGTCGTTAGCATGTGTCATCGCTTAGAAAACTTGTCTTGATACTTTATTGGGGGGGGTTGGGTTTTGATTTATTCTGCTAATGTATTTCAGACTGACGATAAGATCAATTCGGAACCGAAGATTAAAAAACTGGAGCCAGTTCTTTTGCCAGGTAAACATTAGTTAGCATTCTAACAGATACTGTAGTAATGTAATTTGGTCCAAGATTATTCTACCGACTATGTGTTTAACTTTCTGTCTCTTTTTAAACTTTCTCCAGTTAAAAATCTAATGAATGAGAAGAGAAAAAAAAGTTGGTTAGAGAACTACAACAGCAACCAAAAATAAAGATTAATTGATGTTTATCCTTAACAGTTTAAAGAATCATAGAAAACAATCAAGAATATCATTAACCTCATTTTTTTTGTATGTGTGTTCTGAAATGTTCTTTTTGAATGGAAGTATATCTTCAATTGCTTGGGTAGCAAAAGTACTCTTTGCCCTTCATGTCTGTCTGCAATGTAATGCATTGATTAATAGTCAAATCATTTTAATGCATTTTGATAGTATGAAAAGCGACTTTTATTATGCTGTATCTCTATACCAATAACAAAGGTTAGTGAACTTTGAATTACTTACTTGGCAGTTGTTTTTTGAGGTTGTCAGCTGTATTTGCAAATTTGCTTGTTTCAGTTTAGAATAGAGTTTTCCAACAAAAAGAGGCACTATTGACATTTTGGGCAGGATAATTCTTTGTTGTGGGGGGCTGTAGCAGCTCCCTGGTCTTTAGCCATGAGATGCCAATAGTCCCCCATCCCCTGCCACCTAGATGCAGCCTATTGCCACAACCAAAATGCCTTCAGGCATTGCCAAATCTTTTGTTTTTGTTTTTTTGTACCTCTAGGGGACAAAATTTCCTACTGATTGAGAATCAGTGCTTTAGAACAAAATTTACCTTAGCAGTCCTTAGAGACAGAGGTAGAGATTGGTGGTAGACAGGAGTTTAGTTTTAGAACATACAAAATATTTTTTGATTGGTATTTTGAATTGTGTAACAATTGTATAATAATTAGGAAAAGTCAGTTTAATAATATAATTTTGGGGACCATATAGCCAGGTCCCCCTTAGGAAAGCCTGTTTTAAACTTGAAATATAATCTAATATCAGTTTGTATGGCTACTATCATGTTTAAAAATCTTAGAGACCTTACTTAAAGCCAAATCTAATAAAATAATTAGAACGTTGTATGTTGTAACTGAACAAATTTGGAAACTTTAAAATTTTAAATATTAAGGAGGGACAAATATATTAAAAACATCAACCTTTGGTACCATATGGTAGTCTTTTTAAACTTTATTATGGGAATCAGTTATAAATATTTTCTTTTGATTTTCTTAGTGCTTTTCACTCAAACAGTGTGTACTAATTAATCCTTTGTACTTTTCCTTAGCGTGAACAATAGAATTACTAAGTAATCCTTGCTCCTTGTGTGCTCTGTTTTAGTCTTAGTCACTCCAGGCATTTAAAAGGCAGCTATGGGAAATAGTCAGTACTCATCTTGAATGAATGCCTGTGAGCTGTTGAACTTTAGCTTCCTTTACTTTGAACAAGCATGGGTCTTACACTTTGGTTCCCTCTGCCCGATACAGAGATTTGATAGTAATAAACAACACGGTCTTAGCTATAAATACTAGTACTTGATTTTTTTAAATTAGCTCTTAGGTTTAAGATATGCTTATAAAAAGTGTTACTAAATATTGATAAGCTTTTTCTTATTGTAGGGTTTTTTTATAAAATTACTACAAACTTACCTTTCTACTGAATAGTCAGTTTTCTGGGGAGATTTTAAACCCATTTCCTGACTGTGAGTGGTTTACTTGTCCCAGAAATAGCAGCTAAGTCTGAATCTTTTGGTTGCCTGTTAAGGACTTCTCTGACTTCTTAATTTTTCTTGCATTGACTCCCAAGTCACAGCCAAAATCTGTACATGCATACATGGTGGCTCTGTCACCCAGTGTTCTGTTGCACCTGTCTTCTCTTATGGAACATTTAACCAATCCTGAATTACCATGTCTTCTGCCCTCTTTCTTGACCCCTTCTCTCCTTACCCTTTCACTTGGCCTTCCCACACTCTTCTTGGTTATGTGTGTGGCTGCCTCATTGTGGTCTCTGTGTCTATCTCTGACTACCACTAGAGCCTCTGTTGCTCTTCTTTGGCCTGAAGCCTACTACTCTGCTACGAACTCTGGATGACAAATGGAAGATAAAGTATTGGTGATCTAAAGACCTAGGCTAGGATAGGGCATTTACTAAGAGGGATTGACTAGTATAGTTCTGGCCTTTGTTACCTACCATTAGAAATCAATAGAAAACATGGCCAATTCACCTGCGGCTTTACATAGGCACACAGAAGTAATTGTTCAGAGATATAATATTGCATGCTATGTTTTGGCATAGTGCCTTAGGTCCAAGGATATCCTACTTCAGTTGCCCGAAGTTTGAACTTTTAATTCAATAAGCAGATGAAAATTAGAACACAAAGTCAATTGTTTATTTGTGTGTAGTCACCATGTGATCTGCTGGAACTTAACAAGGCTAAATTTAAAATGATCCTCATTTTTTATTAAGTAAAGAAAGTAGAAAATGACTAGTAGTTTAATTTACATTGTGTTTTATGCTAGTAATTTTCAATTTTCCTGTTTCATGAAACTCCTTGAGGTAGAGATTTTACCTAATTCAACTTTGTGGTCCTGATGTCTAGCATAGTGCCTGGAATGCGATAGACACTGGGATGTTTTCTGAGTGAATGACTCAATGAAAGAACCCCTCAGAGCACCTGCTTAAACTGTTACTTTGGCCATGCACACATACAGACAGACCAAATCCCAGATTAAAGAGTAAGAGGAAGGACTATGTTATCTTATGCCAAACATCTCAAGAGAATTATATTCATGCCTGGAATTGAAATACAGTACTCTGTCAAAGTAGTTAGTTTTTATGTAGGCTTTCTCTTCATCTTTCCATCATTATGTGACTCTCATTCTTTTAATGATTGCATATATGTAAAATCACACCAATACTTTTTGAAGATTGTATATGAATTATAAAATGTGTGTGCGTACATGTTTATGTTTCAGTATATATCCATTAAGAGGACGTGTCTTTTTTTGATAGCTGCTGGACTGATGGATTGGTTCGGTGAGCATTTCCTAGGTGCCAGGGTCTGTGCTAGGTTGGGAAAGTCTTGGAAGTGTAGTTTGCCTAGGGGTGAGCTCTAAGCTGCCTGTTGACAAGATAGAAGATTGTGATCTGGATCAGTGGTTTCCCAATTCCAGCCAGGGCCTGGCATTTAGATGGAGTTTTTACCAGCCCTCGGTCAAAATGGGAAAATTAAGAAGCATGCAGCTTTCTTTCATAAAGCTAAATTTATTTCATTTAAAGGATTGTCCTTTATTCTGAGATTATGTCCTTCTAACTTCTTTGATGTAGATTTGTTCTTTTGCTAAATGATGTTACTAGTAGCTGTGGCTTTTAAAAAACATTTTTAAGTTAGCAAAATAAAAAATTAAAAACTCTTATTGGTCCCTTGAATTAGTTTTGGTAGTATCTTTACTTTGAACTGTAAACTCGAAACCACTAGATTATATTATTATAATATTATAGATATAATTTAATGAGCACTCACACAGAGAATATCAATTATTTTGTCTGCCTAAGAGTCTTTCTACCATCTTCTGAAAAATGTATCTTCCCTCTTTTGGCAAAGTTCTATCCCAATTCCACACAGTGTTGGGTTCTAGTGTGGCCAGCAAGGTTAATAACTCACCCTAGACTGAAAGAGTGAGTACAGGTCTGCCTCTAGATAATTTAAGGTTAGTACTAAGGGAAGAGATCGTTTTTAGTAATGCCAGTGGCCATAGAAAACCTGTCCAAAAGAGTGAAGAACACCAAGGGGTTCAAACCCCTGGGGTTCATTTTCCTAGTAGTCCAGCTTACACAGAAACTATGGGATTCTCCTTTTTGCTAAGCTAGTTCTGACATGTTTCTGACATTTTGAAGTAAGATCCTTAACAGAGTTTATAGGTTAATCCTCATAACATCCCTGTTTGGTAGGGTACCAGTTTATCACCATTTGGCAAATGTGAAAACTATAGTTTGCAGAATGTTGCCCAGCTAGCAAGGGTAGAGCCAGATTCTGTGTCCATTTCCCAAGCTGTTCCTTTAACCACTGAGCAGCATAGCCCACCTGGCTCCACTGGTGACATTAGGGTATAGATTTATGCTTTGGAACTGTTGGGGAGCGGATTGGATGTTAGCTTAGAGGAATTTCTCTAGTGAAGTAAAAAGAGCTCTGTCCTTGTCTTTGCCCTTTTCATAGCAGTGACAGATTTTGACCCAGCTTGAGGAGGAATTTTCAAGAATTTCAGCTGCCAGAAAATGGAATGTCTTGGGAGGCAGTGGACTTCCTGTCACTGGCTGTGCTGAAACAGAGGCTGGTGAAATGCCAGTGGCTTTGTGATGAGGATGTGAGCTCTGCAGTGAGTGGGGCTTGAAGGTCTTTGCTCCCTTCTAACCCCAGGGCATGATCTTTTTAAGGATCAAAGAGATGGGTGAGAGAAGAGTTGAAATGCCAAGGCTGACAAATAATGAATTACTTTGTTCAGCAGGTATTGAATACATGCTCGATGCAACTTGGCAAAAGGATAAAAAACTGAAGATACAGGATCTTACTCTTAGACAATTTCAGTTCATTGAGGAAATACTTCAGTAAAGGAGAGCAGAGGTTGTAAGAACTTAGAGGAAGGTCACCTAAGCTAGATTTGGGGTAAAACTGGAGTGCCAGGAAAGGTCTTCTCTGGAAATGCTTGTGCTCTGAATCTTGAGTGCCTGCTGAGCCTGGGCCACTGTGCTAAGGCTGTCAGCTCGGTTCTTTCTCTCTTCCCATCTACAATGCTAACAGCACTTTCATTATTGAGATTAACTATTATATTGATAATGAATGCACTGATTGTCAGAGTCTTTTGTAATCAAATCAGAAAAGCATACCACCATGGGCCATCTGGAAAATGAAAATAGCCATTGTTGTATAGATGTCGTGTTTATTTATTACATATTCACTGTTTGGCCTGTTTATGTACTGTTCTTTTTTTTTTTTTTTTTTTTGGTGCCTCA